CATCCACAAACACAAGCTGCCTCAGAGCCTTTTCTACCCATGAGCTGCCTTTCGGTTACATCACAACATATATGTCTTACAGGCACACTTCCCTTCTCTCTCTTGCCCAGTTCAGTCCTCCAACACAGAGGAGTTACTCACTGGTTACTCACTTTCCTAAAAGGCTCTAAATTGCACACGGGCCCAGAACCAGCTCCTACAGAGCAGACTTAAAAAAAAAAAAAAGCTGATTCTTAAAGTTCATTTCAGGCCTAGAACCTCGGAGAAGCAAGTCTACTGGAACAGCCTGTATTCAATAGCACAGAGAAGAAATGCTGGAGATCCTATATATGAAAAGTTTTCCCCACCATGTTGCAAGGGCCCCTTGCAAGGCATTGCACTCTTCAGTTCATCCCAAAGTCTGTTTCAGCAGTTGGTGATCACTAGTCCCTCATTTCCAGCCCCATACTTCTTGATAAGTAAATGGAACATTTGCAAATTTGCCAAAATCCTACAATATAGCTATTTACAGGGGTTCTATCTGGATGTTCTCCCATTCACAGGAATTTCCTTTCACTTTTGTTAAACAGTAGCATTACCTACACAAAATACACCTTTGCAGGCATTGCTTATTGAGAAGAGGAGATAAAGCATCAGGAGAAAAGCAGTGTTTATTGTCATAGGCACATCACAAGATCAAGGGTTAGAAAAGGAAGATGCTTCACCATTTGCATGGACTGGATGCACAGAAAGAATTCAAATTATAAAGGTATTGACGAACAACAGAGAAACCAGTGTTTCAACAACTTTGCAGCTGATATAAATCAATGTGGCCCCACTGACTTTAATAAAGATAAGACTAGTGCTACTGAAGCACAGTTGCTTCCTGGAGAAGGGATTATGGTTCCAAGTGCAAAGACAGGAGGGAGTTGCCAGTGAAAGTCTTGGAAAAACAAGTGGGTTGCTGCCCAGCTGGTATGGACTGGTGCAGCTGCACTGGCTTCAGACAGCAGAGCACTACATGGTTTGGCCTATGAACTTCCCTACCAGCTTAGCCCATTTCACCAACACATACAGAGGTTTGATAGCAGCTACAAAGAGGTGACAAGGGAGAGAGGCTCCAGTAAAGCACCTCACAGAGAGAAAACGCAACAATAATAGACCACATAATTTTTCTTGGAAGGGAAAATGTAGCCAAGGCTCTCCATTGGAAAGTGAGCAGCCCTCCAAGGTAGCTCTTCTTCAGGTAAAGCTCTGTAAATTGCGCTGCAGTGAGTGCATCTCAGCCCCACTACAGCAATTAATGCCTTTACTGGCTTTCTTCTGTGACTCTGCTCTTGTCTGGGTCTCTGCTTCAACTCCCAGGAGAGCTGGACCTGCTGCTGAATGTGCTGACCTCTAGCCAGCAAACAGCTCTAGTTGTGTCACACAGACTTCTGTTCTGGGGTGGAGGGACCTCCAGCAGCCAAGCACAGAAAGCAAGATACCTGAGGACTGAGCCAGGTCTAGACAACTTGAGCTCCAAGGTGGGAACCTGCTTTCTACTTTTCCCCTTCTGCCCCCCGCCCCCGATGCAGCACCAGTAGGAGAGGGGGCAAGAGGAGAGCTGCAGCTTTGCCAAGTCTGTTACTCTTCCAGCCCCCTGTGCACAGCTTCCCCTCGGCCAGAGGCAGCACAGCTACCAGGCTGCTCCCGGGCGGGCCGGGGTCCGCAAGCAGAGGGGAACAGGCAGGGCAGAGAAGCAGAGCACGCTTGCAGCAGGGGCAGCTCCGCGCAGGGAAGGAGGGGGCTCCGGGTGCCCGGGAGCAGCAGCCGGGCCCCGGGGGTGGGGGCTGCTCCCGAGCCCTGACGTAAAAACTAGGCGGGGCTGCCCGCTCCGGCTTCTTAAGGAGCGCGGCGGCGGCAGCGGGTGTGGAGAGCTCTGCTCTGCTCTGCCCTGCCCGGGCCGCCCTGCTCGCCGGAGCGCAGAGGTAAGGGATGAGGGATGAAGGCTGCGGGCGGTTGCCGCAGCCGGGCGGGACGGGAACGGAGCCGGCGCTGGGCGTGGCTGCCCGAGCCCGGCTCTGCGGGAGCGGCAGGCGCGCGGGGACCCCGCGGGGCGCTGCGCCGGGTGGGGGGGCATGCACCCCCCCGTGCGCCGGACCGCTGCGGCAGCCTGCCAGGGTCCGAGAAACTTAATAACTGAGAGCTACAAGTTAAATGGTGGTAATGAATGAACTGATTAACTTTTTAAATTATTGTTGTACGGCATTATTCATGACGGGGAGTGGAATGGGAGAGGAAACTGCGAGGAGAAGTGGGGATGAGGGGAAAAAAAGTCAGAGCCGGAAGATGTAAATTGCATGCACACACACACAAACTTCAATTTACGGACAGAAAGACCTAAAGATTGGGGGTGGGGGGCGGAATTGCATGGAAGCATTCACCACAGGCACAAGTAAGAGATTATTGAAATCTGGCATTTCCTGAGCATGCCCTCAGTGCTCAACTATTTAAAAAATAAAATCCTGAACCTTGTGGAAGGCTAACAGCACAGTGCTGTCTAAGTTTGATCAGACTATAAGGATTAGAGGCCTTAGCTACTGGCCCTGACTAATGGTATTCACATCACACCTTCGAGGGCACCCACCCTCATAGTAATGCCCTACGCAGGGCTGTCCCTTTGTTCTGACAAATCCAGAACCCTTGTCTTACTCAGTTTTGTAACTTAGAAAGTTTCTGATAGGTGCTGGGGAGCAGAAAATGTAAAGCAACCTGTTCAGTTGTTAACCTGTACAAACCAGATGGGCCCTGTCCAAGTCACAGAACCATCCTTTTAAGGATTATTATTATTTAGTATTATTTTATTATTATTTAGTATTATTAGCCCATTTTATTAGTACTCCTTTGTCTGAACTATTTGGTGTTGGGGCTCGCCCCGCCACTGCTGTCTTGTATCTGTCTCCCCACCCCCATGGTCATATCTGAGATTGCTAGGCTGCTTTGAAAACTAGAAGCTTGGGAAAAAAGTCAATTATGTCTCTTGAATGAGTCTCAGTAAACAGATAGGTATGTGCATACTGCATAGCATATATGTACAGGTGTCTGCTGCCCAGTGGAAGGGCTCTGATGCACAAACAAGAAGGAAATAGTGACTCACAGGATGTCCTTTGGTTTGCTTCCGAGAAAGCAATCAAAACCTGCCTGGTGCAGTAAGGTACAGAAGAATGATGCTACTGGAGATCTTAGAAGCAGCAAAAGGACAGCCCCATTACTGTCATAAGTGACATCCCACTAGGCAGAGCAGGATGGGAAGAGCAAGCTGGTCCTCTTTTATTCATTAAATGGAAGGTTCAGAGCCAAGGCTGTTAAACCAGTTCTCACAAAATCCCAACTCAGATTAAAGAGTGACTGTAAGCAGTTGGAGAGTAAAGTTTGAATACCTAAAAAATGTTCCCAGAACACGACCAGGTGGCCAGACAGGGGGCCAGGTAAGAATATCACTGCCAGGACTGAAGTCTCTGAAGAGTCTTTTAGCTCTACAATGAAATATGTTCCACAAAGCAGCCTACTCTTCTCTAGTCTTGCACACAGGCTTGTGTCTGAGCTACCTTTTATGTACAATCCCTCTGCACATCCATATCCTGCCTTTGGCATTCTCCTTCACACAGCAAAGGAACATTTCTTCTACTCTTCATGATCACTCATGGAAGAGACTTTCTACACCAAAAGCCAGCTGATTATCAAGTTAAGCTCATTAAGAGAGGTAGCTTACCCCCTGCCAACAATCAAACTGAAAATGTAAAAGCGTGAATACTCAGATGGTCAGCATCTATGTTAAACAGAATTGTTTGTCCTAAACACAGATCTCAGATGTTGCTGATTTCTACAAATGGGAATTTCTCCATATGCCATGAACAACATTAAAATCAATCCCCAAACTTGTTAGAATCTTTAAAATTCCAGAAGCATGTTTGAAAACTCAGCATAGAAGCACATACTAGAAATGAAAACTGACAGAGACAACTGGGCCTTTCTGTCCACAAAAAGTTATAATTCTCAGGATTTCTCTAACCATTATAGGTGCTACTTCTCAAATTTCACAGTTTTAACAGACAATTGTTAGTGATCCGCAACAAGCACCTGTACTTCATATATATGTATAGATAGATATATCAGCACAGGAATGACAAGGACCTGTTAGAGCAAGTCCTGAGAAGGGCTACAAAAATGATCAGAGGGCTGAAACTGCTCTCCTATGAGGAAAAGCTGAGAAAGTTGGGATTGTTCAGCCTGAAAAAGAACAGGCTCCAGGGAGACCTTATTGCAGCCTCCCAGTACTTAAAGGGGGCCTATATGAAAGCTGGGGACAGACTTTTTAGCAGGGCCTGTTGCAATAGGACAAGGGTTGGACTAGATGACATTTAAAGGTCCCTTGCAACCCAAACTGTTGTATATGATTCCACGTGCATGTATACATGTTGTACAATACAGCTGCCATGCCATGGCTTTGCTATACTCTCTTTTCAGAACTGTACTGCATTTTAGCAGGCAAAACACCACTGGTCAATGGATGAATTTGCAACTTTCATTAACTAGAACCATTAAAACATTTTCAACAAGTTTTCCACCTGCTGCTCCACTGATGCTTGTGATTCTGAAGACTATTTGAAAGGTCTCGTAAAATTTTGAGAAAACTAAGACTGCCTAAAGGCTTAAAATTTGTAAAAAGGAATGGATTTTTACTGAAAAAGTAGGGATCTGTAAATCAAGAAAGGTACAAAACTTTCAGTGTGAAGAAGTTCCAAATAAGAGAGTTCATCATACAGATTTGAAGATGATTAGCAAATTTTTTACACATGCTTCTGCTGCACACAGTATTGCAACTCCTCTAGTATCTATATTCACACATGTAAAAAAACATACACACATCTTCAAGGAGCAGAGAAACAATTAACATTTGAGTGCCTTCTATATGATTCTGCATCTAAAAGCGAGAAAATTTTCAGCTTCTTTTGGTTTTCTTATATTTTAGTGACACAATGGACCTTGGGAGCAGAGGAAGAATCCACTGTAACATGAGACTCACCTGCTCTCTGCTAATCATGGCAGCATTCTGCATGACACCTTTCCTCTGCCATAGTCAAACTGATCCACTAGCTCTTGGGTGGGCAGATCCCCAGTGTTGGGAATCCTCCTCAGCTGTCTTACTGGAGATGAGGAAGCCTCGCATTTCTGACTCTGTCAGTGGCTTTTGGGACTTCATGATTTTTCTGAAATCATCAGAGAACCTGAAACATGGGGCTTTGTTCTGGGACCTGGCTCAGCTCTTCTGGGATATCTATGTGGACTGTGTGCTCTCCAGAACCCATGGCCTAGGGAGAAGGCAGTTAGCAGAAGCTGAGCAGAAGACTGCTACTCTACATTCTCAGTTCACAGGGAGAAACCAAGGTCACTGCTCCTTTAATACAAGTCTCATGGGCAATAACTAGAGTCTAGTGGAAAAGAAAAGAGATGCAGTCTTATTGTGTTGTGTGGTTATAGTACAGAAACAGAGGACAGTGCTGCACAAACTCCTCCTAATCAAGTACAGAGCTATGTTTATGTTCAATGTGATCTCAGCAAAAGTTTGACCTCCAGACAACCTGAACTCTAACAACAGCTTTTAAGTTTCAGTTTGATGGAGAAGGAGGGGCTCAGAAAGTGAAACATAGGAGGATTAGAACAAAGAAGGCAGCTCAGCAACTGAAAATACAAATATATTCTTCCGCATCAGCGGTTTTACCACTATTGTGCTATGAATACAGGCTAGTTCCGAATTCCCCATTCTGAGAGGTGTGTCACCTCAGGAATGCAGGGCACTGGTGCTGTTGGGGAGCACGGCAGTCTTTCAGCAGAAGAGGAAGGGTATGTTTACTTGCCATCTAGCAGTCAACCACTAGTTATTTTCCATTTCCATACTGGCAACTTGACCCAACACACAGTGGAAACAGAACTAGGACTCAGATGCACGTAGGATTTCAGGAACAGCTACAGCTTCAGGAAGACACCACTATGTGTGACATTAAATGCTGCAATTCCTTATCTCCAGGTTCCCAGCCCCAGAGCAGAACCCCTAGGCTTAAAGTGTTTCCATATGCATGTCACTTACCCTCTCCATTACCAGAAGGGAGACACAGCATAGCTTTTCCTAAATCTCAGTCCCTTCCAAGGCTTCAGTTCTGATCCTATTGCCAACGGATGAATCCTTCCTTTGAGCATATCCACTTCCAGATAGGGGTAGGTGCTATAATTTAATGGAGAGGTAGAGTGGCCGTTGCCATCACCAACAGCTGTAGTGCATTAGGCCTACAGTGAGAAGGCAGAACCCTCTTTACACTTAAGCAGATTGAGACCTGTATCTCCACTTCCTAGATTGGTATCTGAGTTATTAAGGCGTTTTGGGGGGAATGTTCATGGAATAATGAAGAACCTCTCTTGACAATTACCTATTAGAGTATCTCTAAAAATGGACTTGAACTCAGGGTTTTTGCACCACAGGGACACTATACCACTGGACAGTCCCGCTCTGGCCCACAAGCCTCAACATTTTTTTTGAATATTGAAAGCTGGGATTTGAGATAGGAAGAATTAAGAGGTCCTTACCCCTGTTACCTAGAGACAGTGTCGTAGCCATTAAGCTAGGACATAGGAATTGTGTTTGAATCAATCCCCTCAGACTGAAGAGCACACACACAGGGTCAGTTTCTAAAATATGAGCCAAACAACCACTACCTGCATTTTAAAAGCAAGGAGTGTACTCTATCCTGCTCCACAAAGAATCTGAGCTATCGCATTGCTCTGACTGGATCTTAACCATGTTGGAACTTCAGTTTCCAATTGGTCTTAGACATCACAAAGGCAACAAATTGCTCAGTCCTTACCAGACTGATGCACTTTCAGGTGCAAAGAGAATGCAGCTTTAGACACATGAGGCAGTAGTATTGTTAAAAACTTAGACGCTCATCAGGCGAAAGCCCAGGATTAATGTTTGTTTTCAGGATTGCAGCTTTGAATATCCCTGTCTAAACTCCCACCTAGCTCTTCATATCTATATCACATCGTGATTTTCCTAAACAAAGAGCTTTTGTTCCTAGTCAAGATTAAGCATAACAGTCTGATGTACTTTGCAGAATCAAATTACAGGTTTTGTGATAAATACTGACTTTTGTTTACACTTACACAGAGATTTTAAGCACGACTAAGTATTCATACTTTAAGAAAAACAAGGACTCCTTCCTTTCCTTCTTTGTTTTGTGAATTGTAATCAGTTAATCTGATTTTTCTGTACAACTGATTAACATCAGGCTATAGCAGGCAGCTTATAGCAGTGACAGCCTAAATTTTATTTTTTGGAGGAGCTATCTAACTTCTCATCCAAGTCTCACAGTTTCTTAACAAAGCCAGTTGTTTTAATCTTTGTAACCCTTGATCCTACTGCCTTATTTCATCAGTGAAAGCAGAAATCAATTGGTAATAATTGCAGACAGAAATCACATCCTAGCAAGTGATGAGGAATGAGACAAGTAGGGAGAGTCTTCCACAGTTACCTGGCCAAGGTATCTTTAGTAACTCATCTTTCCCCTAACAAAATCCAAACACTATGAAAAAGCACATTTCATAAAGGCATTTCCAAAATATTACAACACTGTAGTTACACAATATTTGTAACAACTCTCCATGAACCAAAATAAGACTTTGGAACGACAAGGAAAACATAGCTTTTGTACTCACAGCAAATCTTCCTGAAGAGCAGCTAAAAAATCCTCCTCAAGAAGCCACACAGCACATCCCCACTACAAACACTTGAAGACTGCAGCCACAAACATCTCTCCACTCCTTTTCTCCTTGCTCAGCAGCCTGTCTGCCACTCAGTGGCCACAGCTGTGCACACCTCCCTCACAGGTACAGCTAATTAGGCTCAGAACAGCCCTTGCACCTGGCCCAAGACACGTAATTTGCTGTCCCAACGTTGTGGGGTGTCAGGGAGGGTAGTGGAGCAGATGCTACTATACATTTGAGGTCTGGTAAATAAGCAGTATTAGTCAGTTAATTTTTCAGAAGGCAAATATGTCTAAAAGAAAGAAAACCAATTTGCTGGCTTTTAGAGATCATTGTAAAGAAAATGTCCCATAGTTCCTCAAGCAAATAACAAATCTGCAACCAAACAGTGTGAGAGATCTCATGCACTGTGCAGGGAGGTTGATAACAAGCTGGTGAGTCAGTAAGATTATGAGCAGACTTAAGTGCTGCTAATTACAAGTAGAAGAGTTTTATAGGAAGATTGAAGGAAAAGGTCCATACTGGGGGAAAAGATCAAAGTGACCTGACATTGAAATACAACTCTTGCAAGTGGAGGGTTATGGATATCACCAAAGAGGTTTGGGGGCAATGCTGATAAAATGGGGACCAGCAACAGCTAAAAGCAGAAGAAACAGATGTGGGAAACTGAGTATTCAGCTGCTCTTTGCTGTTTGGAAATCATTTATTTATATGCATTTTCATGTCACTTTTCAGGGATATTTTCTCATATTCAGAGGTCGCCAATTCTGAAGAAGAGAGACTCATTTGAAGATTTAATAAGTATCCACATGCATAAGAGTAGACCTACATTACTTCGAAGAGTCATTGGAGAGCTAGGAAAAAAGAGGAAATCCCACTTTTAGTTCAAGATCTTGATTTCTAGATTTTTTTTTAATTACTTCTCTTTATTTTTTGCATTCTAATCCTCACTGATGTCAATTTACATGTAGAAAAAGGCCTGTAAGCATGGGCACCATATCTCTGATTAACTTGGACTTACGGGTTTTTTTAATTATCTATTAATTTCATCTCCTTAATAAACTGCATGATTTATAAGCAGTTGCCTACTTTAACCTGTGTGTATCTCAGTAATACATGTGACCCATTCACACGTGGCACGATTTTGGGTGCCAAAACAGGAAATAACTGATCCTTCAACAAAACACAGACAAGCAGAGAAGGAAATTATCAAAAACCCTCCACTGTTTCCAAGACTGGATTAGAGTCAAGATGGTGATTTTGATTGTATGTGTAGCTGTACACTTGCACAAAGCAATCACTGCTCAAAGACATCATCCTACTAAAAGAAAAATAGTACATATTTTTACATGAAAAATACCTTCCAAAAACATTGTAAGTTTTCCAGCAAAAGTAAAAGGGTTAAAAGATTTTACCAGCTCCTCTGCTTTCACATTATATTTTTATGATATTTTCCCTAAATGCTTAGTTATTAAAAATACTACTTAAAATGTTACACATTCTTATTTAAAGTGTTTAATACAAGAAACTCATGTATAACTTACAATTGCTTCTGTTTTCGTTTGCAAGCTCTTTGTAGAAAAATCAGTTTCCTCTGTTATTTATAACTCTAACAGGCAATTTGATATTAAACTAATGTAACATAACTTAGGGCAGGTAACATTTCATGCTTTTATGAGATAAAATATTTCCTTTGCCTGACTGGCTGAATGCAACTACAAATTTCAGCTTTCCAGGGCAATTATATTTTACTGCTCATTCAAAGTTTCTTTCCTTGAGCATGTAGCAATATTTCATTGCTCTTTTTTCTTTTTTTTTTTTTCTCCAAATGCCCACAGAAAAACTGGTTTGCTGGTTGTTCACCAACTTGGAGAAATAGGTTCAAGTAACAAAATGTGTAAAGGAAATCTTAAAATGGTTACTGGGCCTGAACAAAGTAAAGGTTAAACACAGTCCCACTTGGTGAAATCATTATCTTAAGGAAGCAGACAAAGAACTGTAAGAGGACTATCAGCTTCAATGGCACTGGATTTGTGCTTCGAGTTACACATGCAACAAACTATTTAAGTGTTCAAGAGAAGAGGGAACACTAAAGCAGGATAAGCACAGGAACACAGTTTAGTGTACTCAGCAACACCCCCCCAACTGCAGCCACAGCCTATGAGTGTGCTCTGCTGCTGTGTGGGAGGGCGGCAAGACCATTGTTACAACAGGTCCTCTCTCTCCTGTTCCTATGTTGTTAATTAACTAAATTATATTAATATATCTAAAAGCCCCATTGTATGCAACTTTGTATCAACATAAGAGACATGTCTTCAACCACAGTCCCCACAGCTATTAAGTCCAGCAACTGACAAAGAGCGTGTTAAGGGCTGGATGCCTCAGCCAAGTACTACAGTACAACTGGTATTGTAGTAGACCATATGCACTTCAGCTCTAGAAAATATAAAATCAGACAGATTACCCGAACAGGTACTGTTTATCTTAGCTGCTTTTCCACAGGGCCCTTTGGGAAGAGGCTAGTGCTTCCACTTTAGATATATCCCAGCTGCAACAATAGGATCCCTTAGGAAATGGCTCATGGTAGCTTTTTTCTTCCCTTCAGATAGCAACAGAAATGGTGAAATACCACTATGGGCCAAGATGATATTTAGCTTAAACAAATTTTCAATACTTCTCTGCTTCAGCAAGCTTCTTAATTAATAGTCTGTAGCAAAATTTGGCCTTCGAGGAAAGGATGCACAGTTAAGATCGAGAAAACAGATGATTCTCTAATATAGGTCACACTATGGAGAACATTTGGTAATTGCTGATGTAAAGGACACAATCTGTGTAATTAATTGTGCTGAAATAAAAAGGAGATGCAATTCATTACCTGTAAACCTGCATGTGATAAAGTGCAAATGACAAAAGGTTGTCTGTGTTGAGAAAAAGTAAGGACTGAGTATGAGGTGAAAGTAGATCTGCTCTACAGGAACAATTCAAAATGTTACTGTGTTTACAGACAGGACATTGCCTCCTACTACTCTTCCTTATAAAGGTCATGGCAGATCTTTGAGTGAGTTAGGACTGTTTTTGTAGATACTGCACCTGGCTTACTGTTTCCCAGCCTGAGTCTGTCAGAAGGATGGGATGAACATGTCTGACAGAAGTTGATTCCTTGTCAGCTGAACTGACTAATAGCAAAAGAAAGACCTTATGATTTTGTCCCTTTCATCTTGTAGGTATTTGGGAGCTAAACAACTGCTTCTTAGCATGGGAAAACACTTCTTTCAGTCTTTACACACTGCCATGAAGTAAGAGTTCATGGTAGTTCGGGAATATCTATTTGTAAGAATTTGGGCTCCAGATATGTTCAGTGAAATTGCATCAGACCAAACTAGTATTTGTCAGTTGTCACTGTTTCCAACCATATTTAATTCAGATGCACACACTGGATGGAGATTTAAAGCCTCATCAGAAGCTGATGGATACCTTCCCATAATCAACAACTAGGTTCCTTGGATTGTTGTTTGTCTCTTGGCACTGGCATCTTGCAAAAGCTATTAAGCTTCTATCTCACACTGTATTGTTTATGTGCTAGTGTGGCTGCATCCACTTACTAGTGACCTCATCACTATTTGTTTTCTGGGGCCCTTCCTCAATAAGTTTCTTTCCACTATCTTTATACTTCCTTTACTAGAAGGAAGTATGGGGGGAACATCAGACTGGTGACCTGTCACTAGTGGGGTTCCACAGGGCTTCATCTTAGGCCCTCATCTTCATAAATGATTGGACACAGGACTGGAAGGGATACTAAGCAAGTCTGCAGGTGACACAAAACTGGGAGGAGCTGTTGACTCCCTCAGTGGCAGGGAGACCCTGCAGAGAGACCTTGACAAATTAGAGGGTTGGGCAATCACCAACCATCAACAAGGGGAAGTGCCAGGTTTTGCACCTGGGATGGGGCAACCCTGTATGTACAGACAGACTGGGGAATGAGAGGCTGGAAAGCAGTGGTGTGGAAAGGGACCTGGGGGTCCTGGTCCATGACAAGTTGAATATGGGCCAGCAGTGCCCTGGCAGCCAGGAGGGCCAACCATGTCCTGGGGGGCATCAGGCAAAGCATCACCAGCCGGTCAAAGGAGGGGACTGTCCTGCTCTGCTCTGCACTGGGGCTGCCTCACCTTGAATATTGTGGCAGTTTGGGGCACCACAATATAAGAAAGATATTAAACTGTTGGAGAGCGTCCAAAGGAGGGCAATGAAGATGGGGAAGGGCCTTGAGGGGAAGCCAATGAGGAGAGGCTGAGGTCACTTGATCTGTTAAGCCTGGAGCAGAGGAGACTGAGGGAAGACCTCATTGCAGTTACAACTTCCTCGTGAGGGGAAGAGGAGGGGCAGGCACTGATCTCTTCTCTGTGGTGACCAGTGACAGAACCCAAGGGAATGGCCTGAAGTTGTGTCAGGGGAGGTTTAGGTTGGATATTAGAACAAGGTTCTTCCCCCAGAGGGTAGATGGACACTGGAACAGGCTCCCCAGGAAGTGGTCACAGCACCAAACCTGACAGAGTTCCAGAAGCGTTTGGATGATACTGTCAGGCACATGGTGTGACTCTTGTGAATGGTCCTTTGCAGGGCTAGGGGTTGGACTCTATTATCATTTTGGGTCCCTTCAACACAGAATATTCTGTGATTTATCTTGATGATTACAATTAATTCTGAAAAATACAAGACAAGGAAAATCTATGCGGAAAATGAAGAGTTCTGCTGAGCAGCTTTTTTTAGGCACTACACTTTTCATTAGTCTTTTCAATCACATCAGCCTAAACTCTGTTTGATTATACATGAAGCAAAGCTTCAGAATATATAATTTATCTCACTTTTCTCCCAAAGCTTTCAAAAATATTTTGCTTTTACCCAAGCCAAATTTATTTTCTCAGTAATCACAGAAAAAAATTCTGTAATAATTAGGAGAATTTCTCTCTTGAAAAGCTGGTATACTTTCAGTGACATCCTTAAAATCCTTAAAATCATGCATATTTTCTTGAACCATAACTGGTTTTGAACTCACATGAACGTACTTATTCACTATTTTTTATGCACCTCCTGCAGAACTGTGATAATAAGTAACTAAGTCTATATTTTTTCTCTCTGAAGTGGTACTGCATAATTTTCATTTCTCAGATCTTTAAAATACTTCTGTACATTACAAAAAAAAAAGTTTTCCTTGTTGCTGGCACCAACAAGAAATACTTGAGTGACTTACAAAGAAGTAACTCGACTATGGGATATCAGCTAAAGAGAGAGAAATGGGCAATCATTTGTACTGCTGAGGAATCCACTGCACAGGAGCTGGAAACCACAAAAAAGGAATATTGTTCTCCAATATGTTCCTGGTGAAGTCATTAAATGCAGAAATCTGTTATGCTGTGTTATTACAATGCAACACCTGAGACTCTTTAAAGAGTTTGACATGGCATCAATTACCTTAAGTAGTTCAGTGAAGCTGTAAGGCGAATGGTGGTTTCCATCATTCATAAGCTGGTGAAATTACTTGGTTGATGAGGTCAGAAAAGGACCTGCAAACATGCTCAGCTGTAGAGAACAACTCCTGCTGCAAAGTAGTCTGTTGGGCTGAAAAGTAGAACAGATTTTAAGTCTTTCTAAGCTTTTGAATGCTGCCAGAGCCCTGGAAAACTTTATAAATCATTAAGTTAAGATAACTCTGTAGAAATGGCAGCTTTTTATGTCATATTCCTGATTACATCCTCATTATCAAAAGTGAGGCATCCTGATGTGTTGAACAAAGCCCTGCTGTGTAAGATCACTGATTACATAGGGATTTTGTACTGCTGGAAGTCTGCCTGCGACTGGAGTCATAGTTACAGTGTCACAGAAGTGGTAATAGCAAAGACCTCCAGTGCCCTCACCAGTTTAACTTTGCTCCTTAGTTAACTGCTGAGACTGATTTTCTCTTATGAGCTCTAACTCACCCAGTTTCAAATTAGTCAAACATTAAGGGTTATATTT